ACTTATAAACTTTTTTCTTATGTGTCCACATTTCCCTGAGTTCAATACTGTTTCCCTAATTCAAACAGAAGTAGGATTCAGGAACAGTTTTTTCTTATTTCACAAAGAGGTAATTGAATCATAAAAAAGGGGGTTGCCTTAGGTCAGAAAATCAATCAGTTGTAAAATTTAAGATTGATGCAAGTCATCTTGGTTCAGTGCCAACTTCATTTTAACTTCAAAATGTGGCATAACCTTGCTGCAGTATTATCTAGGGCTTTGTAACTGAATTGGAGATTTAAAAAACAAACTAAGAAGAAGAAATAAAAATTGAAAGGTATAACACAGTTAAATGGAAAGTGAGAATTTAAGGATTAAACAATGAAGAAGAGAGAAAGTAGGAAAGTTAGGAAATATGGCAGGGGCAAAACCATATATTTATATAAACAAGATGATTAAGGCAGTGGTTCTAAGAATCTATCAGGTTTTTGAAAATAGCAGTTAATGGGTAGAATTCTCACCCTGACAAACTATATGCTGATATCTGTGAACTAAGCAGGTACACTGAGGATAGCAATGTGTAACACTAAAACCATGCTTGAGATACCTATCATTTTTTGTCTTCTAAATGCGTACTGCTTCTAATGTTGTATCAATTATTGCTACACTCTCTTTAAGGTAAATATTCATTAAAGAAAAAAGGTAATAAAAGAAAACAAAATACAAGAAAAAAAGTCGCAGCATTGTCCTGCTACAGTGTTATATATGGTTTGATTTCTAAATTTCTGTGTAGAAATGTGTAATTGGTTTTTTTCACATTCTATAGGGATTTAAAGTTTAGAATATCCATGGTTGTTGGAAAATATCAGTTCCATTTTATGTCTAAGGCATTTGATATTCAGACAGATAGTGATGTTAAGCTCAGCTGCCTCAGTTACAGGGTAATAATATCATTAAGCTTCTCTTCTGGATGGTTAACAACTAACATTTGCAGACTAAAAATTGGAGAAAAAGAAGGGCTATTTTGGCCCTAGCCCTTTAAGGTCAGTGAGAATTCAGGACATAAGAGAACCTGTGCTGTGACATCTTGTAACTCATTGGTGTCCAAGATTTTCTGATCAAGGAGATTATGGGGCCACAGAGGAAAGTGATCCACGATGTATAGTGTGCCTAAGGAAGAGTCACCTGGAGAAAAATTCTCTCAGGCTTTCACAGACAGCAAATTGGTCAAGCAATGGCCATGACTCATCCAGATGGCTGACACTGACAGAAGATTTACAAGCTGCTCTACATGGTTTCAGGGTAAATCCTGAGGGGATTTGACGGACCTTGTCAGATACAAAAGTTGCATTTTTAGTTATATAGGTCTTGCTTTAACTTGGTCTTAGCCATCCAGCAGAAAAGTATAACCATGAGGTATAAAAGTAATGCTATATTAATATGTTGAGCTGTAAAAGGCTCAAGTCAACAACTTCTGAGACTGGGCATGGTGGTGCATGCCTGTAATCCCAGCTCTTGGGAGGCTGTAAACAGGCGGAACACTATGAGTCAGATCTAGTAGTGAGACCCTGAGTACCCTGTAGACCTTTCCCTAAAATAAAAAAAATAAAAAAAAAAAAAGTCAACAACTTCTGACAATTGTCAGTTCTGCTAATAACCCACTACTAGTATGGATTATTGGACTATATTGGGTTATTTTGCTGAATTCAAGTTACCTACAATATTTGAACTGGCATCAAGTATGAAAAGGTCCTTTAAAGATTTCTCCAAATACAGCTTCTCTAACAACAGTAGAATGCCCATCTCTGAGAAAACAAAACAAAAAAGGGGGATATAAATGAAGGACCATTTTGTAGTGAAGAAAAAAAAATATGTATATACAAAATAAGATAGATATATAGCTACTGTCTCTTAGTTAAATGATATTACAGATTTTTACTAATATTGTTTAGGCAAGAGATCATGTCTGCATCTTGTACTCTATATAACTACTATGAAGACAACAATATGCAATGTATTAATTATTGAAACTGTCCTACTAACCTATTTTGAAACTGTCTCATTGAGATTTCTTTCTCATTAAAATTAATAAAAAATTTTTTGGAGAGAAAACATTCTCTCAGGCTTTCACAGAGAGCACATTGGCCAGGCAATGACCGTGACTCATCCACATGGTTGATACTGACAAAGGTTCTACAATCTGAGGTACAGTATCTCAGGATAAATCCTGAGGGGATTTCACTGACCTTCTCAGACC